TTTGTTTGGTTTTTTTTGGTCAGTCGTGGGGCTTGAATTGAACTCTGGGTCTGGGTGTTGTCCCTCAGTTCTTCAGCTCAAGACTAAGACTCTACCACTTTAGCCACAGTGCCACTTCCTGTTTTCTGGAGATTTATTGGAGATAAGAGTCTCACAGAGTTTTCTGCCTGGGCTGGCTTTGAACCACAGTTCTCAGATCAGCCTCCTGAGTAGCTGGGATTATAGGTGTGAGCCACCGATGCATGGCTCCTGATAGTCTTTTATATCTAGCTTCTTTCACTTGACATGTTTTTATGATTAGTCTATGTTGTAGTGTGTATCATTAGTATTACATTTCTTTTTATTCATTATAGAAATCAATCTGATAGTTGATATCCCTTACAGTTTCAGGATAATAGTTTTCCAAAGAATTTTTACATAACATTCTTTTTTAAATTTTTCTTTGTAGGATTTGGTGGCTTTTGAGCATCAATGGACTAGCTTCTTTGCTAATTTTGACACAGAAATTCCTTTTCTACTGGAACTTTCAGAATCTCAAGCGGGTGAGGTAAGTAAGGGAAGAGCCAGAGAGAAGTAAGTGGATTAGTTATTTATCATTTTCATTATTTATTAGTTTTTTCAAAATACAATACTTCCCTAACTTACTTTTTATTTTTATATATACTTTTACATATTAGAAACCTTGTTTTGTTTTTGTCAAGTCATAGGGTTTGACCTCAGCGCCTGAGCTCTTTTGCTCAAGGTTAGCACTCTACCACTTTGAGCTACAGCTCCACTTCTGATTTTCTGGTTGTTAATTGGAGATGAGTCTCATGGATTTCTTGTCTCTGCTGGTTTGGAACCATAGTCCTCAGATCTCAGTCTTCTGAGTAGCTAGGATTACAGGAGTAAGCCACCAGCACCCAGCTGATTTTTTTTTTCAGTCATCGGGCCTGAACTCTGGCTCTAGGTGGTCTCCCTCAGCTCTTCAGCTCAAGGCTAGTGTTCTACCACTTGAACCACAGTGCCACTTTCCAGCTTTTTTCTGCTTATGTGGTGCTGAGGAATCTAACCCAGGGCCTCATGCATGCAAGGCAAGCACTCTACCACTGAGCCACTTTCTCAGCCCAAGATGATTAAAAAAAAAAAATCAGTTGGTTATCTCTTCTGGAAATGTGACTTGGTGGTAGAGTGCTTGCCTAGCATGCATGAAGCCCTGGGTTTGACTCCTCAGTACCACATAAACAGAAAAGGCCAGAAGTGGCTTTTTTCAAGCCCTAGGACTGGCAAAAAACAAAAAATTATTTAAAGAGGAAAGGATCTTACTATCTCTGGTTCCATTGTATAGATTGTTTGCAGTTGGTATCCTGGCCTTTGATGGATGTCCTCTTAACATTTTTTGTGCTTCAAATTTTCTGATGATTAATTCTTTCAGCATTTATATATCTGGGGAAAAATACTTTATTTTGCCTTTTTTTTGTTGTTTCTTTTTGTGCCAGTTCTGTGGCTTAAACTAGGCCTGGGCACTGTCCCTGAACTTTTTTACTTTACCAATTGAGTCACAGATTTATTTCTGTTTTTTTTGGTGGTTATTTGAAGATATGAGTATCATGGACTTTCCTTCCCAGTCTGGCTTGCAACTGAAATTCTCAGATCTCAGCCTCCTGAGTAGCTAAGATTATAGGCATTAGCAACTGGTAACCAGCTTGCCTTTTTTTTTCTTTCTTTCTTTCTTTTTTTGGTGCTAGTTCTGGAGCTTGAACTCAGGTCCTGAGTGTTGTCCCTGAGCTTTGTTACTCAAAGCTAGCATTTTATCACTTGAATTATAGCTCTGTTTCCAGCTCTTGGGTGGTTAACTGGAGATAAGGGTCTCAAGGACTTGCCTGTGTTGGCTATCTTCGAACCTTGATCCTCAGATCTCAGCCTACTGAGTATCTAGGATTATAGGCCTGAGTCACTAGTGCCTGTCCTTATTACTGATTTTAAATGAGTGAGTTATAATAAACATTCATTTATTGGAAATGTGGAAAAAGTATAAGGTTACAAATTGGATCATAAATGATGATTGATACAGTTTCAGTATTTAAAATTTATAAATTTGAATTTTTCTTTTCCTTTTGTAGCTTTTTTTTGATAACTTTTGTTTGTTTACTATTTGTCCACAAAATTCATGTCACTATCCACTATATATACCGTTTCATGTTCTTATAGTTATCCAGACATTTTTATATTTCTTACACACATTACATACCCACCTGATGTGTTTATACATATGCATACACATATACACAAATGAGGAATTTTGTGAAGATTTTACAAAACTGTGGTCTTATATACAACTTTGGCTTCTTTTCAGCCATTCAGAAGTTATTTTAGTCATGGAATGATCTCCAGCCATATAACTGAAAACAGGTAATATTCCTGGGAAAGAATAGTGGATGGTGAAATAGAAAACATAGTTGATGAGGATGATATGGGTGGGGTGGCACAGATATATAGAACATCCAAGTTCAGAAGTTGGAGTCAGGAGAGTATAGCTTGACTTATCAGAGGGTATGAATACTCTATCAACTCAAGTTATTTTACTGCTTTTGCATTTTTGTATTTGTTTTATTTTTCTGTAACTTTATAATAAATTAGCATGAAAACATTATAACCTGCTGAAATTTAAAGAAAGAAATTTTTACTCCATTCCTAGCCCAGGAAAATAAGAGAGAGTATCTAAGAGGGGCTAGGCAGGAGCACAACAGTGACTTGTGGGAAGAAAGAGGGATGAAGCTCAGGGTCCACACCATGAAGAGGATAGAGGGTTCTAGAGTGCTTCCTTCTGCGTTTTTCTCTTGAGCAGCAGAGGTGCTTCCCTTGATGGATAGAGAATATAGAACTTTCCTGTTTTCTTAATCCCAGTTCTATAACAGTGACATCAACTACCCTGATGGGACTCAGATTCACCATTTCAGTTCACAATACCGTAAACTACACTGGTGGGACTCAGATTGATCATTTTTTGCCCAAAGTTCACTTGGCTTGCATTAAGTTTCAGAAGAAAAATTAATCCCTTATATTTTTGAGGGCACTAGTTTACCCAAAACCTCAAGTTGTAATTCTTAAGGAAAATGAAAAGGAAATACCAGCAATTTAAGGAAAAGGAGGGGATAGTAGAAACTATCAAGTATTCCTTCAATATTTCCTTTAAAACATTCCTATGGTCGGGCGCCAGTAGCTCATACCTGTAAGCTACTCAGGAGGCTGAGGTCTGAGGATTGCAAGTCAAAGCCAGCCTGGGCAGGAAAGTCCGTGAGACTTATTTCCAATTAACCACCGGAAGTGGCACTGTGGCTCAAATGGTCAAGTGCTCGTCTTGAGCTAAAGAGCTCAGGGACAGTGCCCAGGCCCAGAGTTCAAGCCCCACAACTGACCCAAAAAAAAAAAAAAATCCTAGGGAAAATGAAAGGTATACTGAACTGAAAGCTTTACTGGACTGAATGGACCACAGGCAGTTTGAAATGTGGGAGATCTCTGGCTAAGTGAAATGAAACTATAATATTCTAGGAGGAACTAATAGGTTAATCCTGTTGTAAAAGTGAGCTCTGTGCATTCATGAAACAGTTCCAGTATTCCTCATTCAGATTCCCAGCAAAGCCTTTTTTTTTTAACTACATACAAGTTCTGTTTATATAAAAAGTAAAACATTCTTCTGTTATCAAATATATGCTAGCAACATATGATATATCAAAGAGAAATGATTAAAAAACAAAACAAACAAATATGGTTTCTGCCCTATGGAGTTTATAATGTGATAGAGAATTAAGACACCAATCAAAAAACATACCAAAATGAACTCCAGGAAATGGAAACGAGGGTTTTTTTCTTTTTGTTTTTTTGTTTTGTTATTTTGGGTCCAGTTGTGGGGCCTGAACTCTTGGCCTGGGCGCTGTCCCTCAGCTCTTCAGCTCAAGGCTAGCGTTCTACCACTTGAGTCACAGCGCCACTTCTGGCTTTTTTTCTTTTTGCTTATGTGGTGCTGAGGAATTGAACCCAGGGCCTCAGGCATGCAAGGCAAGCGCTCTACCACTGAGCCACTTTTGTTTATGTGTCTTTGAGATGGTAAAAGGGATCACAGAAATAGAAAGACAAAGGTGGACAAATGAAGCAGTGGTACTCACTAGACAATAAACTACACAAATTTTGTGTGAGGACTAGAGGGGAAAACTTGGAGAGAGTAAAGGATGGGGTTACATTGTCCAAAAAGAAATAAACTCATTGCCTGACTTTTGAAACTGTAACCTTTCTGTATATCATCCCTATAATAATAAAAATAAATACTCATATGGAACAGAACATGGTTCTGTGTACACCATAATTAGAAAGCCAGATCACCTCAGGAATGACGAGTAGAAATAGAGAGAGTCAGAAGCCCAGGACCAAAATTAATAATAATAATACTTTTTTAAAAGAGCACAAACTTGGTTAGAGTATGGGAGTTAAGGATGAATGGCCTTGCATGGAGTTGAAGAAATTGACCAGACTATACAAGTTCTTTTTGGCTATGTGCGAGATTTAGGTTTTTCTCCTAATAGTAACACAAAGGTAGTACATGTTTTGCATGTTTGAAAGATTGTCATCACTTTTGGAGACTAGATTATAGAAGGGCAAAAGTTGATACAAGGAAACAGTGAGGGAAGGCTGCAGTTGTCCAAGAAAGAAATGATGGTAAACCCAGAATAAGACTGAGGCCAGGTGATTGGAGAGAAATAGATACATAGGAATGAGCTAGGAAAGGCTGTTTAGATTTAGGGATGAGGAAGCAGATATCAATGGGATGTCACTGGTATCTTTTGCAAGAGCACTGTGAATGAAATGAGTGAGGGGAGTTGTTTGGATGGGCTGAGGAATAAGCAGGAAATGTGTATGAGGTCCAGCTAAGAGAAGTAGTAAGATAAGGATGGCAGGAGGGTATAGTGATGAGACCATTTACATTCCTCTTCTTCTCTCCTGCAAGTTAGTTACAAAATAACTACTATATTGTTTATCTAGTCTAAAAATCAGAGTTATTATTATACTTTTTAAAGGCATTTCTGTTAAGATGTTATTTAATAAGAACTAAGGGTTTGCTTTATCTTTACATCATGGACAACAAACTTCCAGCTCAAGTTGGAAAATACAAACCAAGCATGGGTTTAGTTAGGTCCTAAACAACTAAACCCATAGGTCACTAGGAAGAGAGAGAGATCTGGCATTCCTTTCCAATCAGCCAGGAACATTAGGTAGACTAGACTTTGCTCATGTTGTAGGACATTGCTCAGAATAACCTGAGAACTCACTCAGGTGATAGGAAGTTGCCCTGACCAGGAATCCCTTTTCTAGTCACATTCTAATCTATTGTTGACTTTATGCATTAGCCCCAGTCGGCAGCCATTTGTTCTCTTTGGTAATCACTCCACACGAGAAAACCTGAATGCTGGCAACTTCAACTTCCCTTCTGAAGGACACCTAGTACGCAGCACTGGTCCTGGTGGGAGCTTTGCCAAACACATGGTGAGTAGCTGGACTACCTGGTGTACATGATTACATTTATCAAATAAGAGGGAAAGGCAGCTGGACAAAGGAATCTTTCCCAATTAATATGTTGATTTAGCTCTGAATCTGAAATTGTTTTGAAGGTTAGAAATCTATTGGAGGGGCTGAGAAGGTGGCTCAGTGGTAGAGCACTTGCCTTGCATGCCTGA